ATATATACAAGAAGCTACAGAGTATGCGCCTGATCATATGGCCGCATCATATTGAATTGTGGAACCTGAAATATTCTCTAACGAAGCCCATAAGGACAGCTTAACCATACCAACCACAGAGCTTCAGAGTGTTCGGCAAATAGTCATTGAAATGATGCTCTAGATCAGCTTACTGAATCCAAGTTTAAGTGAGAATGAAAAAGGTCACTGATAGGTGGGTGGATGTGAACAAGAAATTCATAAAAACGGTATCAACGTCTTTTAGGTGCAATTCTTGTCCTACTACTTTTTTATCAGTTATTTGTTGCATCTTTATTTAGCTTTTTTGTCCAAGCAGAATGCGAAAAATGTGATCATTTGCCAAAGATAAATCTTGGAAAGTTATGACTACGTTTTTAATTTTTTATGTCTCGGTTCCGAAATGTTAGTTAGTTTCTGTGCATGCTTTGTGTTCTGATTAGGTAGCATATTAACATAACAGTCAGACTTTGATAGTGTAATTACAAGACGAAGTTTATCTGAACAATGTGATGTATTTGAGCAATACATTTCGAACAATCTGACTACATTGTGATTTTTCAAGTAAATTTTAAATAAAACCAGTGAAAGGGGGAGAAGGAATAAGATTATTTAAATAATAGGGAATTAAAACTGTGAAAGATTACAACAAAAAGAAGAAGTGAAATGATAAAGGAGTAAAACTTAGGCACTGAGGTAGATTGTAATCCTAAAGAAGGAGAGGATTAGAACTATTTAGACCATGTCTCAAAGTTATGAAGTTATCTGAAATGAATATGTACAATAATGTCTAAAAAGTTGTCCAGTAAGTAATACCATTTCATTGTGTGACAGTACTAAGAAACAGACTACAATGGGAGAGTGAAAAAGTTCATTCTAATTTTGGTAAGTAAACAAAGTTTACCATGGCAAGTGTAGTGTAAGTAGAAATTGTTTATATACATACCAAGGTGATTTTGATCTGAATATGTCTGTCACCTCCGCGAATCTTTTCATACGACTTCAACTGTTTCTACGTAACAGTATGGAACCTAATTGGACATAAATTGTGTGGAAAATTTATATGATATTTTTAGTTATGAATGAAGAGCGTTGTCTCTCACCTTTACGTATCAACGATTTTTACTCTACTTGATTTTAAAGCTATTCAGGTACCTGTCCTCCCACCTTCAAGTGCATAAAGTCTGTTATTTCTCTCAATGCAAGCTGATAAAAGAGGCGGGATATGACATAATCATTGATAGAGTGTTCGAGTGAATCATGAGTTTTATTTTTTGCATAAAAATAAGCTTAGCTGAATAACATGTTTTCCCGATGGCTAATGTTAGCCTCCATCTCAAAGTTATACTATTCAGCTCCCCGCTGTAGGGTAGATTTCTATTGAATTCTCAAGTAGATACATTAGTTGATTTATTGGATAATTTTCTAGTCAAATGATCTCGAAAGTATAATTAAAATTGGTCTGCAGGCTCCTCTTACGATTTTGCCATATTCACCCTTCTTCAGTTACATTTTAAAAGTACCAACAAATAGGGTGCATTTTCAATTCACACTTCATTTTAGTTCCTTTATTATTTGTACTACATAGTGAAAGAAAACTATTTACTGTATAATGTATCAAGCGAAATTTATTGTTTACAATCACGCCAATGTAGTCCCAGAAATTTGTGATTTAGTTTGACGATTCTACTTCTTTTCATTCATTTTCATTGTGTCACAGTAAGCACATCTACGGATAAGCATTTTCTTAGATTTTTATTATTTTACTATGGTCTGTTACTGAACATTCGTTTGGTTTTCTGTGTTCTGTTGATCTAATTGAACCTGGTCAACCAGTTTCACCTATGCGATTATAAACACAGACAACGTTATCAACCATAATTATAATACTTTGGTGAACGAATTTATCCAGAAACTAATGAGAAGCCGTGACCTGTGGGGTTAACAAGTCGGAAGGAGAGCAGATGCTAACCGAAGATCTTGGGTGAATGGTTGACGTGTTCACTGTGAAACCTGAAGGTCCTGCGTTCAATCCCTAGCCGGGTCGTGGGTGCGTACTACTGAAAAGTTCCACACTAGGACGAAACGGCTGTTCAGTGCTCCCAGGTTTTTACTGGTTCCTCAACTTATGTCACTCTGTGATGAATGTTACAAGACATTTTCAATTTATTCTAATTAACATATCTCACTCATATTGCCTAATCCTCTGATTGTTTATTAACTCTATCACATTGTAATTTATTTCCACCTGATAAACTATATAAAGCTTACGTAATCCTTTTTGTTACCATTCAGCCCTAACGTCATCAACTAGCAACATTATTAACATTTCAATCCCCCATTATTTAAGTTAAATCTTCCTCATGGATTACAGTCATTATTGTTATTATTTGTCAGTTGGGTTCCTAGTGGAACATACGACTTCAGTTGCACCTCACCATTTCCCTCTCTTCTTTGTACTCCTTCCAACCTGGCTCCACCACTGCTCACAAGCTTTCATTTCTTCCTCACACGATCTCCTCCCTGTCACCCTGGCCTCAGAAGCCCAGCTCGTTGTTTTCCTTTTAGATTCCACTCGAGGACCTGCCCGGGCGCGTGATATCCCCGAATGGTCTTCTCAGTGTATGTCCACTCTAATCCATATCCACCTTCTTCTGCATATTTGCTGTGTGATAGATCCTTGGTGGGTTCTTCGCCAGCCAGCCAGAATTCCTTGTTGCTTATTCTTGTTATTCTGGCCATCTGACCTTCAGTGTCAGTATCCAGTGAGCCTAGGAGGCAGCTATTGATGAGCGTCTGCAGTTCGTTTGAAATGCTTTGCGTAATGTGCCAAGTCTCTAAATTATCACATAGAAGTACTGACTTGACATGACATTAATGTTGAAAATCTGGATGTTGTTCACGCTTTATGCTGAGTGCAGTGGAGTGGAGTGCAGTAGATCTCCACACTGATTTCATGTCAATGAAGGCCTGTCTTGCTGTTTTTCCGGTGATGCCTTTCACATCGTCATCTGTGCCGCTACCTGTGGTTGAGACGATGCTGCATAGGCAGATGAAACAGACAACTTGCTTTCGACTTCTCCCGTTGATGGTGATAGGTCCTTGTTTTGTTGTTGTTGGTTGGGTATCTTCATCAACTCTGTATTCTCTACGCCCACCTGAAGGAAGTCTCATCTTCGCTACAGCTTCTTTTAACTTGTTGGTTTTTGCCTGTAGATCTTTGAGTTTGTGCGACAAGACTTAGACACAAGTCATTACCGGCGAAATCCAAATCCCCTAAAGTCTTTTCATCGGCCTGGACACCGTATACCCACCATCTCAGTTCTCATGGATTGCTGCATGGTCCAGTCGGCCACGATCAGGAGGATCATCGATGATAGTAGGCAGCACCCTTGTTTTACTTCTGTCTTCACTTCAAAAGGCGTCACTGAGCTTTCCATTGTGACCACTTGAAATTTATTATCATATACCATAGAACAGTTGAATAAGGTTGTTAAAGGTTTGTGGTACTAAAACTGTAGTGTTGAAGCAGCTGACGATACACATAATCTATACAAGAACTAGATTAGTTTTCTTAAACGGCTGCTGCATACGAATGCATCTATAGATAAATAACTATCGCAGATCTTTCCCACAGTGTGCTTCATCTAGCATGAAATCACGGAAGGGAATGACACGTTTCGTATTCCAAGACTATTAGATATACCGAGAACTTCAACGGGCTGATTATGCAAATCAAGTCTTCATTCTTATATAAGTAAGAGCAAACATTTTTCGAAAAGTTGTATAAAGTGAGTAATCAAGATATGGGTACAGACATTTAGAAAAAATATCAATACCTTGCCTACTGAAATGCATTCAAATGTAAATTTTTGGAATTTATGGACAAATCTATGCCACTGAGGTAATGTGAAGTACATGGTGGGGTGTTTTCCAGCTTCCTAATCATAGTCAGAATTCCGATAAATGTTTATGTCCATCTTAGAAGTAAAAAAATATCAGTAACACAAGTATTAATAATGCTAATAATAATGTCAGTAATAGTACTGACAATACTGTGGAAAACGAATTGAAAACTTCTACAGTATTACTATACAAAGAAGGCATCTCAGAAACATTGCTTAGGATTCTTAATAAGACTGGGACTAAAGTGACATTTAAACCTACAAACTCACTTAGAAATCAGCTTTGAAGGTTAGAAGATTCTATTGGTTCAATTAGGTGGAATATCTTAGTTTACCAAATCCCTTGCAACGATTGCGAGGTCAAATACATACGTCCAAGTAGTCAGTTAGCACAAAATCCTAGCTAGGTCAGAATTAGTAGATCCAAGTAAGGTAAGGAATTTAGGAAAAAGCCCAACCACAACGATGCGCGCGATTACACACAACCACACAATAGGATGGGACAGGATGGAAACTCTAAAACTAACATAGCAGAGTGGAGGGAGCAATTGATAAATGAATCTTCGTTTATCGAGTCAAACAACGCCTAATGCATGCAACAGGAATGACTTAGCAGCTGTTCCGATGATATGGAAAATCTTACTACCTATGTCACATAGAGGGAGAGGAAATTAGGACTATATAAAAGATATCTCAAAGTTGTGTAGTTATCTTGATATGTCTATGGACAATAAATTATGCTCGAAACGTAATCCAGTAAATAATACTGTTGCACTGTCTTCAACCTAATAAATCAATAAAAATGGAATTACATACTACCATAGTGCACACATTTTACTCTTATATTAAAGTAAACAATAATTTTCATCCCTGTGAATTATCAGTAACTCATCTAGCAAGTAAATAGGCTTGCAGAATGTATTCAGTAAATACAATAAACTTTATTGTTGTGATTATTGTTTAAAACAAGGAAAACTGGATTTGTACTATCTTGTGCTTGTTTACATGGCTGTTTCACTTTTCAAAGAGATCTCATAAAGATGAGGAGAGTTATAGTACTGTTATTGTATATGCCGATTACCGACCATATCTAAAGTGATTTGTTGAAAAAAGTGGAAAAAGACAAAAAAAATAAAGACTGTTACATACTAAATAAGCATGTAAAAGTAAAACAAATAATTTACAAGCACTGTGGTCAATAAAGATACCTAATTTGTGTTGATGTTTTGATTAGATTGAAGTTTTAGAGCGAAATGAAATCAGTAATTAGGATAGAAAACGGTTGTGCTGGTTCATTTACTACGTTTAACGAAATATCAGGAAGAAACTCCAACTGATGAAATGAAACGTGGTGGATTATTTTTGGTGACCACTGAACGTAGAGTGATCTAAATATGTAACTTCACTTGCAAACTATATATATTATTATTCAATAAAAAAAATGATAGATCTGGTTGTTATCGTTTGTTGTCCTGGAGCATCACCTAACATTTGTACTTGACACGTGTCAAACGTAAGACGATGCTCCAGAACGTATATGCAACTGTTTCTAGTCTAGTGATAAGAAGTGAAGTGGTGGAATGTGTCCAACACTTCATTTATTTGGGGAGTTGCATCAGCCCAAACGGGTTGATGAGCAGTGCCTGTTTAGTGTATTCCCACTTGGATCATTTGTGATGCCGACTGTCGAGATATTCAACTACCTGTTAAAAGACAAGTACACTGCGCTGTAGTCCGTCCTGTACTATTGTGTATTTGTGAGACATGGCCTTTACAAGTAGGCGCTATAGAGCTATAACAGGGCTTAGATCGCAGATGCCATCACAGCACTGCTTGCGTTTGGTGAAATCACCGTGTGAGCAATGGTGATGTCAGGCAAAGCGTACTAGGCAAGAAGAGCAAGTCAATTGATGCGGTTGTGAACCTCAGTCAACTGAGATGGCTTAGATATGTGCTGCGCATACCAAGCCACTTCCTATCGCGACGTGTCATGCTAAGGGAAGTTAGGTTAGCTTGGAAGAGAGCTCATGGTGAACAGATGAAGGCTTAGCACCAGTTGATGAAGTCTCTGACTTTAAGTCATGTAAACTACCTGGCCGTGGTTTCCAAGACTAAAAGAATACGTAACTGAGGATTCTTAATGACATGGCTGAAAATCGGTCGAAATGGTGCAGCTGAATTCATTCCTTGACATCTGAAACTTGAATATTTGCACTAACTTTTATCTTCAACTTTGATATCACTCTTTTCCTATCCATCTGTTCTTTGTATACCACTGCGAATTGAGATAACTTGAGTCGATGCACAAGTACGTGAAGTTCTACACTGACTTTGCCAGTTAGTCGTTACTCTATCGTTTTCTTTTAAAGAGTTTGATAGAAAGCTGGTGAAGGGAAAATTTCTCATGACATCAAACCAGTATTTTTTCAATAAAATTCTTTTATTATGAAATTCATGTTATGGGTGGAAAACGTTCCACGAATTCCCAAAATACTACTTTACTTAAGATATTAAAGTTACACAAAAATCAATTTTTCTATGAAGCATTCAGGAAGTTGGTGAAAGTTACACAGTCATAAGATTAATTGAAGATATTAAATCCGATTTTGTTGAGTAAACTACAAACATAGACCACTTTTGGTGGTGACCTGAGGTTGATATAGTATGACACAGTAGTTATTACAACAACTGTTCTCAATTTTCAGCTAATGAACATCAGTCTCAAGTGTTCATGATTACTCAACTACTATCCATTATGGCAGGATTTTGCTGCTTAACTCTAGTACACTTAGCAGTGTTTTATATTCAGGAAATGTTTACCTTTCTTACTATACAAAAACAGCAAATAATATGATACTAACAAAACGTAATTCAGCGAAGAAAATTTTCTTTTTGAATAAAAAATTCCCAAAAATGTACCGTCTTGACCAAAGATATAACAAATATGTATCCATCAATAGTTAGTGGGTTCATACAAGAAATAAACCTGTAATGAACTATATTCCCAACTTCAAAGCCAGGTTCCAACAGTCAAAAAAACAAATCTAATTCATTCACTATGCACAAAAATCAGAAGAACTTCTACGGATGATGCAGTAAGTGAGGAGTTGGAAGTAATTCAAACAGTGTTATTTGAGAATGGTTACTATTCAAGATTCACTGACAGGAGAGGAGCATGAGGGTTAAATATTTTATAAAGTGAGCTGTTATGGTTGGAAAGAAGATACTATTTATAATATTGGATTGAAGTGAGATGCATTGTCGGCGATAGTGAGGAATCGGTTGTGCAAAGCATATTGGAATTGTTTTCTTCAGTGAACAGTTGATTCGAGGGTGTATATGTGAAGGATGAGATGCGGCTTCGGGTGACTTTCATGTGTGTTTATCAATTCACTTGCTCTTATTAAACTGGTTTTGCAGACTTGACAAAGCGTGTTCTATCCAAAAGCATCTCCGAACACCATCCTGCTTGGCTGTCGAAAGGAAAGTCATCAACAACTCGAATGTTGAACATTTGATTGTCTGTGGTGACTTTGATTTAACAGATTTTTCTTGCAGTCATTTATAAAGTGAAGGCAAACATTTGCAAAGAGAAGTTTTGTCAATCCAACATTACTAGCCTGACCTTTGCATTCAAGAGCGACACATTCAGTCCTTCATTCTGTCTTGTTCATGATCTCTGTAAAATCGTGTATTCATTTTCATTGTTTATTTATTGTAATTTCAGCATAAGAAGTGTTAGATGATCTTGAGTTGACCTTCCTACTGTTATCACCTTGTGATTTCATTGGTCGTTTCCGCTGACTGTATATTGATATATCAGTTAGTTATGGATACATATTCTGTTGTAAACATGATTGACATTGTACAACCTTTGAAAATGATTCATCGGAAATCATTTTTCTTCACTGAATTGTGTTTTTTGTTAAGTTTTACTTTATCTAGTGGGACTATATCAATATCTGAAAGAGTAATGTCATTTATTTCACAGAATCGCAGTTGATTCGCATTTTGTCTGAAGCGAATTTAACTATTTCAGTTCACTGAGAAGATTATGCAGAAACACTAATATTTACTTAATTGCAGTTTTCATTCAGTTTCACGTTTGAAATTATTTGTATGCATTAGGTAAGAAACAGTTCGAAATATCATTCAGCATGCAGAGTGTCTATATATATATATATATATATATATATATATATCACATATCTCTATCGATAAAAAGGAAGTGATTTTGATTCATATGAGCTGAACAATAATTGGTGTAAAACTGAAACCCATTCCAAACGATTGAAGCTAAACTGAGAGAATTCTCGTGACATTAAGCTCTTAATTCATCCGGGCTATGGATGATGTAATAGAACTTTTATGTACGGTGAACGTATTATCTCACAGAAACTTCCACTCTCTATGGGGATTTATGCATAAAACAGTCATGGTCATCTTGCAGTGTATAATGATGCTTTTTATTAGGGTTAATAACATCGCCTAATATGAACGTATCTTCAAATATTCGATTTCTTTTCATAAATGTTGTTCTTTATTTCTAATACATTACATACTGATTGCCCTGTGACTATGCTTATTCATCAGAAATACTTGTCTTACAGTTTCCCTTCTTTACTGCTCGTATACTAATGTTACAACACAATCCCAAATATAAGCAAAACAAGAAACGTCATCTGGTTTTTTTAGGTTTATACGTCATTGAGATGAAGTTTATTTAATTAAACTAGATTTAAATGTTTCATACTGTAAAACAGAACGACATTTATTTCCAGTAATAAGTATACTTAACAGGGATAGGAACTGCTATATACATGACTTTTGCTTTAGTGGATTGAGTACACAAGTATGGACATCTGTGAATAACCTTTGAAAGTGAGGAAGACACGTCTTAATTTCCTAAAAAAACATTATTACGGTTTAATGTATAGCTATCTGTAGCTCCTTGCAAAACGTAGTAAAGTCTCATTTTCCTGTGGTATGTTCATTATCTATCATCTGATTTGTATCACATAGCAGGTGCAAAGGCGTTTCTCGATAACTGTAGATTTACTTTTCAGCAGAGTATAAGTATTCTGAAAAATATATTTGAACCAACAACTACCCACAGTCTTTCACACCATGGGAATTGACCGCCTATATTGCACGAAGGCTATTGACATTACCCGGCCACCCAAACCTCTGTAAGTAGAGCCACTTCTTAACTCCTGACCCACTACTTGAACATTCGCAGTCTAAACCGATTAACTGTAGATATATAGACTAGTATTCAGAAATTTAAAACCCTAGATCATAGCTTTGTACAACAGAACTTTAAATTAAGTTGAAAATTATTTTCAAAAGTTAAAAGTATCTAATTCTTGTGATATACTTACGGTAGCAAACATTTTTAAAATGATATTTTCTGAATAATAAAAAGCCAGCTATAAAATTCTTGTGGACTGCTAAAAAAAATACCTACCTTATCCTCTGACTAAGATTATTCCATTCTCTTAAAACTTTCATAAATCGACGTAAATGTTTTGGGGATAAAAATATTAGACGTTTTAGTAGACGGTCGAATTGATAAGGATTTCTCAGTTGTTCTTCAGTTATGTTTCCTTCTTCAATCATTTGTTTCAAGTCATCATCATGAATTTCATCTAGCCAATGACTATTTGACGTGGTATCAACTGCTTTAGCAGTTGGAATTATGACAACTTGATTTGAAAATAAATACCAGGCAAGAAAGATGAACGTTTCCAATCCTACTTGACTTTTACGACTTTCTTGAAACCTAGAAGAGAAGGAAAAGGTTATTTTATGGTTTAATAGTACAATAAGAATGACGTTAGATAGTGAATGCATAAATAATTCCTGATTATTGATAATTTTTTATTTCTAGCAAATGATGAGTGGACTGTTATCACAAAGGAAAACATGTAGGCTAACAGGTTTGTTTGAAGATTCTTCAGCAGAATGGATCTAGGGCAGGAGTCCTGAAACTATCGATTATTTTATGACTGTAAGGAGATTTGATCAACCTTTGGTAGTTAAATATCTTAAGAACACAAGATTACGAGCTACAGTAAGAAGCTACCATTTTCGTTGCATAATGAATGACCTTCGCAACTCGGTAAATAACTTACTGGGTAGGAATCGAGTATTCGACGTGATGAAACAGCCACTTGGATCTATGAACATCTAACTCCTGAGTTTAAAATTCGCTAGGACATGCAGCCTGGATTCACTTCTCGAAACTTCCTGTTTACAACCAAAATACAATCACCTTTTATTTGAAACACTTTGAGGAGGTTAAAAATTTATAGTTTGAAGTCTGTGCAAAAACCAAGTATACTACCTGGTTGGGCAAACTTGGTGGACATGAGGACAAATACTCAACTGTGACATTGGGTAATGGTCGTGCTATGTCGTAAACCGACAGAAGTTAGAAATGTGGGCCATTGTATTCCAACCCAGTGGCTCAATAGTAACCTGCTAGCTATGAGTCCTGAGGATCCTAATTTCGATCCTTAGAGGGCAGAGAAATCAGTGGGCTCTGCTGTGGAGTCTTATACTAGTACAAAACAGCTGTTTAATGCCCCAGGGTTTTCAATGTTCCTCAAACTGATGTCAATCCATGCTGAATACCAACTTGAAATCAATAAATCTCCATAAACCCCCTAATTGAATTATCTTTTACGGTTACTAAGTGCTCTTGAAAAAGAAATTCTCCATGTTTCTGTCTAAAGTTTTCCAAAGCTGTTTTTAAATAATCCCAATTCCTCGACAATTTGATGCAGACTATGACGACCAACAATCCGTAGTGTAATTGATAGGTGGATCATTTTTATATCATACAGAAATTTTCTCCGCTTAAATAATCTAACGATATTTAATAATGATGACAATACGAAAATGTGAACTGGCTATCGGTGAATCACATTCCTTATTTTACAATTTGGGGAGGAGTGCGTGGTCATATCTTAAATGTTAGACATTAGTAGTTTGATTTGGATGACTTGAGGTTGATTTTCTAAACATACATTTTTGTTAAAGATGAAAATCAACAAATCATCTTTTTGTACTTGCCAGCTTCACATTCTCATGAACTACTTATCTACTTTGACAATAAAATTGTCAAGTTGTAATTTGCTTATTAAAATTTATTAATGAAGTGTGCAATATGGTCACTGGGCTAAGTGAAACGACAATATGTTGCGCACCGTCGGGTGTTGGATATTTAGAGCCAGTCAATGGTAGGTGTAAGACCTGCGATTCACGATTGTTGGTATTTGGCAAGAAATTACCAATTATGAGTTTTTTTTTCATGATACATTTCAGTTGAATATATGAGGAAGCCGGAGATGTGGATAAAGAGTCGTTGAAAACATAGTGAATGTGTGATGTGACTAGAATTCATCTTTTGTAATTTTCATCGAATGATAACAGCGCGAAACAGTGCGTAATTATGAGGTTCGAAGGATTGATTCTACTGGTAATAAGAATGAATTTTGTCACCAAACAATGATTGGATCTTGAAGAATAAATTTATGATCAAACTTACTTGAAACTTTGTAGTTATACTTGAGAAATGGCTGAATTCAGAAGTACATCTGAATCACGTGTTGATTCGAAGTGAATAACTTCTAATCACTTCACTGACTGTCTGATTAGTTGCAAAAACTGACATATAAAGAGTGTAACCTATCACTAACTGCTCTAATATCCTAATCAACTCTTTGTTCAAAGTCATTTAGTTTTCTCCTTAGATTTCTTAGGCATTAATAACCCAGAACAATTATATCCATTACTATTTATTATGAAAATGATCTTGGAATACTATTTATCGTCACCCTGAAGCATGAGAACAGTCTTCATTTCTATGTTATATGATCGATAATATGAAACTTTTACTATTTTTTCTCGAATTGTGTTTAAAATCATCGTAACTTTTAATGGAATTTATGATTGCATAGCTAAAGAGAATGACATAGTCAACATAGATGGGTTCGCTGTATTTTTTCGTAAATGTCTAAGTATTTTTTGTATATAGTATATGATTGTTTTTATATCATACCGTCGTTGATTGGTCTCTGTTGGAATATGGGATCCTGTGCAGATGCCAATAGAGACCCATCAATTCGGTCCAATCAATGACGGTATGATATAAAAACAATCATATACCGAAAAACTATACCCGTCGCACAAAAATTGGCTATCGTGGCTCAGTGGTGTAGTGGATAACGCTCTGGCTCTTGAAGCGATCGCTCCTGTATCCGAATCGCGGTGGGAACAACACCACTCGCTGAGAAGCGAGTACATCCGGCTGACGAGTCCCAAACATGATGAAATCCACATCCTGGATTCCACTGCTAGCCACTATCCCTCATTATTATTTTTGTATATGATTATTGATTTCACTCCAATCAATAAGCGTTTTACTGCAGTTCCAAACTAATGAGGAAAACCTAGTTTGTATACTTTTCCAAGTTAACTACACAGGTGAATCGCTCTTCGATTTAAGCCAAGAAGAACAGTAATCTGTCTTGATGGATGTTTGAGATAGTTCTGTCGTTATGTAGTTTTTATTTTATACCTCATTTCTTATGGGTAACTTTAATCAGAAAACCAAATTTATTTGAGTTTGCAAAAAGCTATGAAGACAAAACAAATCGCTGCCAAGAGATTTGAAGGCAGTAATAGAGGTTTCGAAAAGTGCTTATCGTGCATGAAAATCAATAACTGATATCATACTTTTTTGACACTGCGTAACTAATTATGACCAGGCCTAATAAAGCTGAGAGTTGCTGGTACTCCTTATGATCATTTTGGATTTTAATGATGATGCTATCACAACAGCAATACTTACGCAAAGTAGAGAGTTATGGTAGAGATTTGAAGTAAAAATGAGGTGTAAGAGCAATAAGAAATCAATATTTAAGACCACATTATTCAACCTAGTTGATGTTGATTAAAATTATAATTGTTGCTGACATTTTTCTCTCCATTTGAAGCAAAATACAAAGTAATCACCGTAGTTTCAGTTGCAAAATTGTTTACATATGTGCAACGTATCCCATGTATACTGATGATAAATCTTCATCCTACATGAGTCAGGTAATCCAAATTCCCGAGTATATAACACATCTCCGTACACGCCGGGAAAGAATTCGTGCAAAAGTGAATGAAAAACGTGTTTTTTTACACTGCAATACTCATCGCGTCCAAACTATAGAAAACTTATATTTAATAGAAATGCAAAGAAAAATATTGTTTTGTTGGTGAAGGAATTGACGCGATCTGTGAGTAGTGTCAATTACTGCTTACTTCCTAATAATAATCAACCTGATGTTGTTACTTGTAATATTATTATAGCTTTCGGTTTGAGTCCTAGTGGGAACAACATCGCTCACTGGGAGGTAGGTACATCCAGCTGACGCATCCTAAATAGGACGAAAAGCGTCTCCTGGATTCCACTGCTAACCACTGTACACCATTAATATATAATTGAAAAACAAGCAGTATCGACGCATCCGCTTGGGAGACTATATGATAATAGACACCGATCAATTTGATCCAATCAGTAATAACATCAAAACTATACGTGTCGCACAAGGAGTGGCCTTCGTGACTCGATGGTCTATTAGATAACGATCAGTTGTGAGTTGGAATCTAGTGAGAACAATACCACTCACTGAGAGGCAGGTAAATCCAGATGACGAGTCTCAACTGGGACAAAACTTGCGTCCTGGATTTCACTGCTAACAACTATACATCATCAATTTGCTTTAGATAATGTTTTAGATGTAGCATTATATTCTTAACAGTTGCGAACAGATAATCAACAAATTATTCCGCATTCTTTCAAATAGACGACATAATTTCCTGGTTGTTACTCCCCAAACGTGCTAAAAGGATTCTGTTCAAACATTTTACAAGGAAAAAAGTACAATCCTTACGAACGTCACAAAACAGGAAGAAGAGCATAAAGGAAACAAGGAACTGAAAATATTATAGTTCATCGATACAGTAGCACTCTGACAATTAGATTAACTTGAAGGAAAATAAACTGGTTGGGTAATAAAAACAACAATGAATAGAGTCTTGTTTTCAGGTATTCAGTAAATTTCGAAAAGGCTAAATACAGTCAGCAAGAGTTATTGAGCTTTATTTCCCAACCCATTGAAATGTATAAACCAGCTGCTTCTGCAGTTAGATAGAAGTGATATTCGAACAGCCATTCCCAAACGAAGATATCATGATTCACAGTCGGAAATGGTATCAACGAAATATAAAATTTGCTAAGCTTTCACTACTGGTCATTAAGGTTGTTTGGCAAGCTGAAAGTGAGTAAGATTCTAAGTGGATATATCTTCCAACTATACTCAGTATGCAGTCAAAGAAAGAACGGTAGATCATTGTGTTAAATTTATACAAGCAGGCAAATAGGTACACCATGGATATATGACTGGGTATCTGATCCACACGTCAAAAAACTTTCTGTAGGTTTCAAAGGATTAATTACAGTAGGCCTATAGTATAATGTCAGATCCCGTAGACTTGGTGATTTGAAGCTTCTAAATCCTTTTCTGTGTCGCTATCACATACTGACAGAAGACGGTATCACGGTGGGTGGAAATGATTGTGGACAATGAATGTTTTGTGGTGCATAACTCAATAAATGTTGCTTCGTCACCGTATACGACATTCAGCTAACGTATCTAATGTAGAGGTAGACTCCTTAGCTTTTGTCTAATACTGTTACGCAACCTGCTGCAGTTATTTTGACGTATC